TTTAATATAGGCCAGTGCAATTATCCGTTTGGCTCAAGACAGGGAGGAATTCCAATTGATGATCGCCAACCTCCGATGAGGAGAAGGCACATGAAGAAGAAGGTTCTCAAAATTTTAGCAAAGTAAAATAACTCCATTATTTTGGACTTATTTGAAAAACGATAAAGAGAAAATATGTTTCTTTTATCGAGATCTACCGCCCTTTAAAATACTTGCACTTATTTCTGGGATACCCTGTTTATAACAATACACGTGATGTGTATACGCAAAGTTGCGAACGATGTCAAGAATAGGTGCCCAGATTGGCGCTGACTACCAGTAAGCGGCAAACCTGCTTGCACTGTGTTCGCACCTGGTTCGCACACTTATGGAAACCAACCTTTCATTGTCATCATATTGTCATAATATATGTCATGATCCATAGATAAAAGAAAATAATCTACTATTAAGATAGATATGAAACTTAATAGTAAAATTTTGGGTCAAAGCGCCCCTCCATGTTCTTAGTAGGGACTACGTTTAACCCAGCGCCTTCGCCTTTTCTGCTGTAAATGTTTTTTATGTTTATATTTGAATTCAAAGGATTTATTTTTAAAGTTACACTGGTATATCAGAGTAACTTTAATAAAACATAAGAATATATCACCGACAAGATTTATTTCTTTGGTGAGCAACTTAGTTTATTTATCAAATTAGAAGATCTATATACTTGTATTCATTTAAAACTTCCCAATATGGCGGACTTCAGTATGGGAGACTTAAAAAACGAAAATCTCTAGACTGGAATCGACTGTGGTTCAAATCGTCCAAATTGATAATCTGTGGTAAATCCAATTGAACTCTCTGACCCTTGGCTGACATCTGTAACAATCTGTAATGCCCGGGCTGTTTCCTGAAATATAAAACTTATATTTCAGGAAACAGCCCGGGCATTACAGATTGTTGTAAATCAATTTTAAAATATAAAGAAGGTTTAAAACAGGTTTAAAAGTTGAGTTAGTAGAGAAGACCTAAATAAGGTAATGTTGGTAATGGGACCAAAAATCAAATAACACTTGAAATATATAATATGTACAATAATTGTAAGTAGTTTTTATGAATCTGTTTGATATCTATTGCATTGTTTTTATATTTCTTGAAATATATATTTTTTTACTTTACAGGATAGACAAAGAATAATAAAAAATACAGTTACTCACCAAAAACCCTTAAGGTTTGTAATAGATGTAGTTAGAATATCAAACACCAAACCAAACCAAAAATTATGTTCTATTTTACTGGTATTCCTCACATTTGAAAGGAAAGTCATTTCATAAATAAGCAGGACATAGTATAGTACACTCTATATTAATAATTCTTTTTTATCCTATACTTTTTAGTTGACACATTACTTACTAGGTATAAAATTTAGTACTGATTCCAAACCTATAGTTGTGGTTGTGATATGATGTGTGTTTCTGGCAATTTAAAATAAGTTAATATTTAAACAAACATTTCTGGCTTTCCTGACAGGAGTGTGAACACAAATTTAATAAAGGTATAATGTGGATAATGTTCTGATTATTACAGTTTGCATGGATGTTTTTGTATGTTATTATTTTTAATAAAGAATGAGTTTTTGAGTATTTCTTTTTCCCTCAGAGGATTGTGTGATCTTTATATATAAATTTTTATAAATTATATCTACAAAATTTATTACCTTATAACTTTTTGCTAAAGACTTTGTAGTTGATACAGTTTAACAGTATATAAAAGAACTATTTCAATAATATGTTTGAAAATATAGAGCTGTTTTTGCACACATCAATTCAATTTGTGATTAACTGTACTGAAGTAAAAACAAATTAAGAGAAATGAGGTGATCTATAAACTATAACATGAAACGCATCATCCTATTTCCAAGTCTTCTATTAATTTCACTTATTAAACAACTATAATTATTCAATAATCTCGATAATTCTAGGAACTCTCAGATATCGTCAAAACATGAAAACAAAAATTCACTTCCTATAGTTCTTACGTCCCTTTAACTGAAATATAAGAAACAGGGGAGTTAATATTCTCACTGAGAAAGTTTATAAAATACCTTTAAGTAAAATCTCTTCGGATCTGCGGAAAAATACCTTTATTCTTATTAAATAATTTCAATAATCTATGTTTTTATGACAACAACTTAATAACCTAACTTTAACGTCAACTTGATAATCCTGAAAAATTTTATTGTTAATCAAAGACTAAATCAATTTCTGAATTCGCTAACGCCAACTTATTTTTCATTAAAAAAAAATTACCAATTTTCGTAACTAGGTCGGCCATATTGAGGAAGTTTTAAAAGAATTGTACTATAACTAAGGAATAGCTTTATTTATTTTTATTTTCTTATTTTTCAGGGACTTTAGTTTTATTTTTTTTACTTACATTGTACTTTTTCTTTTGATAAATAAACTTTACTTTACTTCACTTTATATATTTTACAATTAATTTTTTTATTTATTTTACAGAGTTTCATGTAAATGATTGTAAGTCGACTGGCTGTCTAATGAATAGACCGAGATTTATAGATTTTAAAGCGAACGAAAAAAAAATCAAACGAATACATACCATATATTTTTCTTTTATCTAAGATACATACCTTATCGTCTTTTGGAAACACTTTTGCAGTTTTGTTAGTTTCTTTGCAAGATGCAACACAACAAGAAAACACCATTTTTACAGTTAATAAATAATAAAACTATTTCTGACTATGATCTTTAAAATTTAGATAGATAGAGAATTAAAAAACAAACCAGTATTTGCAGACCCAGGCCCAAATTCAATAAAAATCAAAATTTTTCCTGCGAAAATCAGGCTTTTTTCACTGAAAAGGTATTTTTTGATTTATCAGCAGTCATTGTCAAGTTGACAATATACAGGGTGTTATCGAATTAGTCTAAAAAAAATTATGGTGTGATTCCTCATGTGTTCTTAAAACAATTTTTATATAACCATTGGATCTAAAGTACTTCCTTTCGGATCTACAGGGTGTTAAAAACTAAAAAAAAAGATTTGTTTGCTTAACATAAATGGTACACCACTGCTTTTTTAAAGAAAATATATTTTTTTCTTGACTGGCTATCCTTTTTCAACAAAATTGATCTTTTGAGTTTTTCTTGTTCATCAAACGGTTGCCGAGAAAAAAATAAATATACTTATTGAGAGCCCGCCTTAATTCGTTTTCTAACGATTTTTTATTTTCTTATAGATTAATTAGGAAACACCCTGTATAAGCACATCACAGGCAACCAAATAAACTAGTAACCTCTAAAAATTATTTTTCCTACCACTAGCGACATACCGTGTTTTTAGTATGTACTAAATTGTTTTATCAAAATTTCACCATATAAGTTTCCAGGCAATGGTCATAATCTTATTTTCATTGTGCAACGACGCTTGTTTTTTGCGTTTTTTATTTTAAACATTGTATTAATTACTCTTTAATCGACCGCTTTTATATAGCCAAGGATGCAAGTATGTTCAGTGAGAAGTTAATTTTAAGTTTGTGCTTTATATTCGTTGGGTTTTAATTTTTGGGTAAATATTCGTAAAAATGACAAGAAAGTGTTTGTTGTGTGGAAATTATAATATAAATGTCTCCGAATTATCTTTTCACAGGCAAGTAAAGTATTGAGTTGTTCTTTTATGTATATTAAACCACATGCATACTTTCTGGTTATATTTCCTAAGAATATTGATATTCGTACGGAGTGGCTAATTTATTTTTAATATAATTTAATTTTTGTGACAGTAACATTCAATTATTGTTCAAATATAGGCATTTTACAAATTAAATTTTTAAAATTAATGTTCAGATTTGGCGCGTGGGCGATAGGTCCTCGACAAGGATAGATAGAGTAGAAGCATCGCGTGTGCAACAAAAAAAGAAGATAAATGCAAGTCTTTGATATGTTTGGGACAGTTTCCATCGTAATTTACTTATCCACGGAAGTATATATGATCTAGGCAATTAACAGAACAGTTAACTAAATTTAAACAAATCCAGCATAAATTCAAATTATTATAGTCACTGTAATTCAAATTACAGATTCAAATTAATAATGTAGTGTCATCTACCAGTTGGAGGCAAAAGTACTTTTTTATTTATGACCGTCTTATTCCAGGATACTATAATTTATGTAAAATAATATAATAAGCTATTATAGGCTGTGATTATAGGTATTAGCTGTAGTATTAGGCATGTTTAATGACCAGTATAACAAAATGCAAAACAAATAAGTAAATTAATCTTAAATCAAATGAGAATATTGTCGTAAAATAACTAAAAATAACTATATTTTAATATAGGCACAGGCTAACCAAAAATATAGGCAACTAAACATTTTCTATTTATATATAATATTGATATTCCATTTGCTGCGCCATCTTTCTATGAGAAACTAGACTAACATCAAACAACTATTATACAGCCATCTTCATTTTAATGATTGTATTATTTATTCCATGGCGGACAAGCAATCTTCAATATTTTTTTCTTGTTCTTGTTTTTCTCGTTTCAGCCGAAATAAACAAACGCGCATGAGTTTCGATCACACGCTCCAGCTGAGTTGCCAGATCAAATAAATTTTCTCGATTTATATTACTATTTGTCTGATATCTTGTTAATAATTTAATAACCATAGTACAATAGACCATAGACAAAGATCGTTAACACAACTACAGTTTTAGACCAAGTGTCAGCATTTCTAATAAAATAATAGATATTTTATTTTACAATACTTCTAATAAAAGTAGTAAAGGTTTAATAACAAAGGTGTAAGCCGTCTAAGGTGTATACTTTTTATTATATATGATTACAGTTACATATAGTGTATTTTGCTAATACATATTACCCATATTACTAATATTTAATGAGAAATACTGTAACTGTGTTAAAAACTCGGTAAACAAAAAATTGTTTTCTGCTACGTTGGAATAAAAAGGATAAAGAAAAACCAAGTCTGGCAACGAGGCGTTTAGTTAAGTATTTGATATGGAAGAGAAAAAGCGCCAGATCTTATGAAGAAAGCGATTTAATTTCAAGTGTATGATTAGGAAAGTTGTGTAGTGTAGAAATTTACATACGATATTCACCCTCATCCTGTCCGATGTAAGTAACAACCATCTCTTGCCTTAATTAGAATAAATTCGATAATTCCTTTTCGTTGTCACATTTGTTGATAGGCCATTCACTCAATCTCAATGCACGTTGTTTTTGTGGTCCACGTTTTCTCGTCAGTAGAAAATGATTAAAACTTGATGATTCGTTTATTAAAGAAAATTAATCTCTTGGAAATGGGATGGAGCATAGCATAAAATTCAGAGTTATTTCAGTAGTCGATAATGTAGGATGTAGGGTACATTATTTTCACGAGAAATGCACATTGTTTTTCCGGCTTCGGTCCAACAAACTGTTTTTAGTTTTTTTCCACAATAGCTTTGTACATTTACATAAAATCGTACTCATAATACCAACGATATTCTCGATTATAATCGATTTTTCTTTGTTACAGTACATACACATCTCTATGTATAAATTTAATGAGGGAATGACCTAATGAGATAAACTTTTAATGGACTCTATAAAAACCTTGCTTTTTCTAGAATAGCATTAAGAATAATGGTAAATAATAAATGTTCCTGCATAGTCCGAAATGTCTGCATAATTAAATAATAAAAATAATATATTGGAAATACATAATTAAATTTCATGTAAGTTGACATACACGTCAATGTTTACACTCATAAATTATTTCTATAAACACTGTGTGCGCGTGTAGGTGTATTTTTAAAATCTCGGAACTAATGGAACTCGTGCTCCCATTCATCGTTAATTAGGTACCTATTTGTCATTTTTATGTGTTGTTTCATTTAACAAAATTTGATTTAGAATAGATACTTATGAACTGTAAGATTTGTTTTAATTTATCATTTTTGTTGTTACAGATCAATCAAAGTATACAAAATGAACGGTAAGTACAAGTTTCCTTACTGATAAGAGAACGATTAGATATATAAGGCATCATGTGAGGAAATTAGTTAATAAACAAACCTTCATATTTGTCTAATTTATAGGTATAGGTTGATAGTAATATACTACAATATAACTGTAAACACTGCTGGGTCAATGTACCAAAATTTTTTACCTAGTAAATTTAGCAGCTGATCTGTCGAAATTTTCTCTGACTCTGTTCAAAGAGTCAAAGAAGATTTCGACAGACAACATAAAAATGACAGAATATACAATTATTTATCTCTGAATGTGAATCCACACCATCGTAGGAAAAGCAGAACGGAGGATCAGCGTGTCGAACTCGAGCAATTCAATTGGCTGAAATTTTTGTCAGATGAATTTTCGAAAAAAATTAGCCAATAGAATTGCTTGAGATCGTTACGCTGATCCGCCGTTCTGTTTTTGCTATGATTGTCTGGACTCACCATGAATTAAAATCTCCAACAACTGGCATACCCTCTCCTTGGACACACTATAGTAAAAATACTATACTATTTATCTATATCCTTCTTAAATTATTTATCCAAATGACTTAGGGAGGAAAAAGATCAATTGTATTATTTAATACCAATTTGAAAATAGAACAGGTATTTATTATATATATTATTATATTATATATTATATTTAGAGCATTCTTTTTTAATTTGTATAATTTCACCTTATAGCTTTGACCAATTTTATTTATTAAGTAATTATTTAGTTTTGTTTTTCAAATTGCATTTTTTTATTATTATTTCTAATTAATGTTAAGACTTCGAGCCAATATATACAGAATATCTGAAGCAATTGATATTTTAGCATAGAGCATAGAGCATGTTGTCATATTTTTTCACTTGTTAGATAACTGTTTATCTTATCTAGAGAATAATTTCTAGGAAAGCAAATATTTAAATTTGTTTATGTATATATAAATAGGTACCCGCAATTAATATATCATACGTATCATAATGTATATCTTAATAATTTTGCTATTATAAAACTTATCCTAATAAAAGTAAAGTTTGAGAATATATCAAATATGGTGGTTACTCTGGGTTATGTAGATATGTAGTCCTCCCACTGAGAGGATCCATGACAGTGGCAGTTGTGTCTGTTATTTTATTCATAAGTAAATTGTACTTTCTGTCATTTTTGGATGTCATCTGTCGAAATCTTCTTTGTCTCGTGGGACAGACTTTATTTTTTGGTAGGTATATAAAGATATAATGGTTGAAATTGGTTGAAATGGTAAAAAAATGGTTGAAATCAGTTCATAACACTCCCAAAGAAGGTAGGTGTTAAGACCTGTGGTGATTATCGAACAAAAAGTCTTTGCTAAAACAAGCCACTTGCTAAAACTGTTCCTAAAAGTCATTCATCGAAGACTCTAATGAATATGTAAAGAGCAAATTGCACCCAATCAGTTTGGATTCGTAAAGGCCTTTGGCACAAGAGAGACATTATTCAGCATACAAGTCCTGTTCCAAAAATGCAGAGATGTGAGCTGTAACGTTTTTGGGTGTCTGAGTGGATGGGAAGCATACAGGATACAGGACTAGTGGATATCTTGCATTGTGTAAAGCAGGGGTGCATAATCTCACCAATGATATTCAACCCATAACCCATACTCTGAACACATCTTTAAGACATAGATGAAGCATCTCGAACCATCGATGAAGTCCTACTCAACAACCTGCGCTACGCTGACGATACAGTAGTGTTTGCCGATACAATCGAAGGTCTGCAAAATCTGATGAACGGTGTAACAGAAACTAGTAAGAAGTATGGACTCGACATAAATACAAGTAAAACCAAATTCATGATTATTAGCAAGCGAGAATTAGCGAGTGTCATAATACACTTACCTGGGTACTATGATAAATGAACCGTCGGACAACTCGCAGGAAATATGGTGCAGAATTGGAAAAGCCAAAATGCTATGTCTGCTCGGTTCTCCTGTATGACGTAGAGACCTGGACCCTAAAGGAGGCACTATATCAAGGCTCCAAGCCTTTGAACTATGGCTGTACAGGGGAATCCTGAGAATACCGTGGACGGACAAAGTCACAGACATCGAGGTCCTGAGTCGAATGAAAACAACCCCAGAGCTCTTCAACATCGTCAATTGCCGTAAGCTGGAATATTTAGGCCACGTGATGAGGAAGCAAGAAAGCTATGAGCTGCTCCAGTGCATCCTCCAAGGCAAAGGGTAAACGACGTCCAGGACGCAGGAGAATTTCATGGCTCGCAAACCTGATATCCTGGTTTGGAAAGACGTCCACTCAGCTTTTCTGAATTGTCACAAACAAAATAATTGTAGCCAGAATGATCGCCATCCTCCGTAGTGGACAGGCACTTTGAGAAGAAGAAGTTATAAAGATAATATAGGCAAACGGGAGAAGGTGCATTTTTTTAAAAACTGCATCCAAAAATTGACAGAAAAAAACAATTAACTTTCAGCTAAAATGACTGTCACTATCAGAATCTATAGTTGAAGATACTATACCTATACTATATACTTTTGCGGCGTTTACTTGTAATTTTTTAATTAAAGTCTGTACCAGCCAGGGGGGGGGCCAAAAATGACAGAAAAAAACAATTTACCTGTAAATTAAAATGACAGATACACATAGGTATATCCTTTCATTAGACAGAATTTATTAGTAGTTGTTTCATCAACAGGAAATTGATGCAAAATTTTAATGAATGAACCAATGTGACAGTATTGAGTTATGATGCAAATTATCATATATTCTATAATAAACTAACCAAACAATTCTGTTTATTGATGTGAGAAGATCCAGTACATATTTTTCCCATTTAATTTTATACACTTATCAATAACGGCTTTTCAAAACACTAGTATTATTATGAATTGTGTTATGAATTATGAATACGTAAATAAGCCACGGAGATTGCGATTATTGAAAATAAAACAAGATATTGTAATGGAATGTATGTTGGTTTATACGTCATTGCCTGTTACTAACAGCACAAAAAGTTGATTCACTTTTTATTCTGCTAGCGATAATAGTATTCGTCGAGACCATGAAAGTCGTACCTGCTTTTTAGAAGAAAGGTCGTCGATCTTTATAGATCGGTTCCTCCTGTGACACGAGACACGAGTGGAATATTACAATATTTTTAGACACGTTTTCTATCACTATTAAAGACGAAAATAGACAATAGTGACGCTACGGCCTTAATATTTTATGTTTGAAGAATGTATTGCTATATAAGTATTATATTTTTACACAAGACCAACTCAGTTTTATCCTATTTTATATATAGATGAGATAAATTTTTATACATATATGTAGTCCAATGAGAGTTTCCTTGCGTATTAAATACTATACATGAAGTACTTGTTTCTTATCGTCGTTGGACTCATGGAAATTTCATGCAAATTTTGAACTGTCCAAATATTGGATCCCCTGTTAATTTTCGGCGAAGTCGTAAATACTAGTAAATAGTTTTTTAAGGTCTGCATATCCTGAATACACATTCCAAATTTGAACAATTTTGGACAAGTCGATTTTAAGTAATTTAAGAAAAACTGAATTTATTTTTAAATTTAAACTGGACAGGTAACAATGCAAAACCAGGCAAATACCAACGTACCTTAAGTTGACATCCTATAATTTTGTCAATGACAAATTGTATTTTCAAAACCTTAGAGTTTTGCCTCATTCGAAGCAGTTTTAAATTACAAAAATGCATTTCATGGACGCTAACCATAGGTACTGTAACGTTGTAGTGTAGACAGAATAACAAATTACATTTGACAATGATAAAATTATAGATTGACAACTTAAGGTATTGTAATCGCAAAACATTTTCCGATGCACGTCATCAATCATATTGACATTGACATTAAAGTCTATAAACCTGACTAAATGAAATTTTGGCAAAAATGTTTAAATTTGTTGTATAATTTAAGATACCTAGCAGCTCTTCATTTTACTATCTAGAGCAAATGATTGTTACACATATTTTATTTAGATTAAAACTGCAAAAATTAGTTTAAACCGAATTTTATTTTCGCTATGTTGATCGCATTGCGCCGTGCAATATTGTCCTTTATTATTTGACAATTATCCTAATGTCAGTCCTTATTTTGTATAACATCGTGTTGTTGTTGAATCTTTGTGAGCGATTCTCGTTTTTTTGCCTATTTTCGTAGTCTTTTTTAAAAATTGCACTTTTAAGCACAAACAGTTCTTTTAAGAACTAAATTATCGAGTATTGCATTTCTTGAAATTGTGTGTTGAAAATTATGCCGAAGCATATATACAGTCGAAGCAAAGAGCTTGTAGCTTCCCTGATAAACAATTTCACTGCAGTCAGAGAAGTAAGTTAAATAAAGTATTTTTATTAAATTCTGTGATTATTAGTTTGTGCATTAATAGCACCCCCTCTTACTTGTTATTACCACTTATGGCGTTGTAAGATGTATATGAATAAATAAATAACCCATAAGAATTAGAATAATTTTCATAATGTTTTCAGTTTTTGCCAATATGTAATAAGTAAAATAAGCTACAAAACAAATAAATCAATTAGTTACTAATATATTAGTTATTAAATTAAAAATAAAACGTAAAACTCTTTAAAAAATTATATAATAAATATATTGTTTGTCAATTTTAAATTAAGATTCATCTCATAAATCCATCACAATCTGGCAGCGCTGTCGCCATCGCTTGTCACTCAAAAGTTGATCACGTGCATCGGAAATTGTTTTGCGATTGCCATATGTTTACATTTGCCTGGTTTTGCATTGTTACCTGCAGTGGGATTCTGTAAGCTCCGTAGCAAGAAATTTCCTGTCTAGCCTATGCTATTTGTATACTATTGATGAGTCACTAGACAGGAAATATGTTTACAGATTCGGGCCTCTGTTCAGTTTTAATTTAATATGTAGATGCAGTTTTTTTGCAGCATACGCCAACTTTCAAAAACTTTTATTTACGATTTAGC